TAAGAAGAAATTGTCTGAAAAGGGGATTGGACTTCTGGACCATGGCTTAGAATATAGATGTTGGGCTCCCAGCCAGAGATAATGTCTTGGTAGGGCTTGTTAAAAAAAAAAAACCTATGTACATACATGCATGCATACATATGTGTGTATATATATACACATATATACATATATGCATATATAATTTTTCCAGAATCTAGTAAGTCAAAAAGACTTTAAACCAAAAAGGGAGAGGAAGAGAGAGGCTGAAAACCACCTGTGTAGATCTGTCAAGCTTGGTAACATAAACAAGTACAACATGTGAAGAATAACAATGAACAGGAGAAAAGGCCTGGCAATTTATGGTAGGTAACATCACAGATGAGAGCATGGCGGTAGGTATCTATTACAAGTTCATAAAGTATACTTAATTAACAGGATAAACCAGAGATCCCAAAGCAAGGAGGCAAATATCATATTGTCACTTAGACTCCGGAGAACGGAATATTTAGAAGGAACAAAATATAAGTGGTGGAGTAGCATCAAATGTTAAGATGCAGAGTCATGCATAGAGTATGGGTTCATGTTCTCTGAATTCTTTTGTCAAGATAATAGGCTAATATGATAAAAGTCCCTGAACCCATGGGCAGTAACATGTCATTGGAGGAGAAAACAGAAGTGATATTGGTCACCAGCTGTGCAGAAGAAGGAAATTGACAAGGAACTAAGGAAACATCACAAAACTGTCATGGAGGGATGATACTGAAGTGATGAGTGATTTCCACTATCAGGACATCTGCTGAAGCTCTCTGTCAAATAAGACATTTGTGATACTTAAAGATATATTTTTTTATTTTTTCAAAGACCTGATTCTGACAAACAAGAAGGTGATGGAAGCTTTACGGCAAATGATTGTGCCATTATGTTAACACAAGTGCCTGGCACGTAGTAAGCACTTAACAAATGTTTATTGATTGATTTGTGAAAGAAAAGAAAATGAAAACTAAAAGTCCGATGTGTGCCCTTGATTATTAAAGAACAGATTTCAGAGCATTCAGAGAAGTGATAGGATCTACCGGCCTGATAGTCTTCAGAGAAGTTGGCCAAAAAGGGATGGGAAGTTCTCAAGAATAAAATTTTGAAGATGCAAACAAATGAATGTAATATTTGCAAAGCATTCAGCACAATGCCTGGCACGTGGTAGGGACTATATAAATGCTTTTTCCTTTCCCCTAATGAGAAGGAAAAGGGGGAGCTTCTGCCTAAAGGCTAATGTGGACACATAGGGAACTCATCAATAAAACTCAGATTTCTTTTTTTAAAGATATGTGTAAAATAGGGGAAAATATTTTCAGGAACTCTAAAGCCCAGAACGACCTGAGGCTGATGATGAATGTTAATACAGTCTAAAAAAACTATTTTGTTGTATGTTTGTATGTGTACATGTGTCTAGGGTAGTTATATTGAGTGAGAAGAGTTCTATGATGGTGAGAGGACTTTCAATCATGCCATATGAGTATTATTTCAAAGAACTAGGTACATTTAGCTCAAAGGGGAAGCATGTATTTGGGAGACTCTCATGTGGAATTGGGAAAAGAGAAATTAGATTTGTTCTACTTGTCCCCAGAAATCCTAGGGCTGGCCGTGTCACTCCCCTCCTCAAGAAGTCTCAGTAGCTCCCTACTGCCTCAGGTATAAAATATAAACCCTTCGATTAGCAGTATTTAAAGCTCTCCACAGTCTAGTTGAAACTATCTTTCCATCTTCTCCCTCACCCATTCCTATTTAACATTATCCGTACACAGCCTCCTCCTCAGTGTTGGTTCTATCATCTCTGTTCTTTTAGACATACTGTCCCTGATTCGAGAACACTCCCCTCCTTACCTACACCTGGTTCCATTCCAGGCTCATCTCACGTGCTACTTCCTACCCAGGACCTTTCCTATTATTAGCACTCCCCTTCCAAAAAGACCTTTGTATTTATTTTGCTTACATTGTACTTATTTCTCTGTGTAATGAATGTCCCACTCATACCCCCAGTGGAATGTGAGCTCCTTGACGACAGGGTCCATTTTCACTTTTGCCTTTATGTCCAGCAATTTATGGTTAGCTTCACACACAAAATAGGCCCTGAATAAATATTTGTTGTATTGAACTAGAGTTAACATTTGGAATTTACAGAGAGGCAGATTTGGAATTGATACAAAGAAAACCTTCCTAAGGTTTAGAACTTTAAGAATTAGAACTTTACAAGTAGGTTCCTTCTCACTGGAGGTCATTAGGCATAGGTTGGTTGATGATTTGTAGATGATGTAGAAGAGATTCTTGTAAACAACTATATGGAGTCTGAGGTTTTGAGATTCTATGATGTTCCTTGCTGTTGGTGATTATTAGAGGTCTGTCACTAAAGCCAGAAAATAAGAAAGGTTCAAATTGTAGCTAGCAGTATCTCACTCAAAATCTTAGATGGAGACGTTTTAGAAAGGAGTGAGTAAAGTCAGGGATTTTTATTAGATCTTGTTGTTTTTAGTTGTGTCCAATGATTTATGACCCCATTTTGGGTTTTCTTGGCAGAGTATACTGGAGTGATTTGCCATTTCCTTCTCCAGCTTATTTTACAGATGAGGAAACTGAGACGAACAGGGTGAAGTGACTTGCCTGGAGTCACACAATTCAATGATGCACCTGTGTGATTTGGCACCCCTAAAAAGCTAATGTAATCTTAAACTGCAGTAAGAGTGGTCTGGGATATTTTAAGACAGGCAAACCTTGCGGGGAATGAAATATAGGTAGGAAAGAAAAAAAATAATAGTTGGCTTGTTGCTGGGAGAGTCCATTTGAAAGTAAATAGCATGTTTGCAGTAGAATCAGGAAAGTTATGTACTCTCCTATACTGTGTAGCATCAAGAGAACAGAAGCAGAGGTGATGGGTGGTTAAGATAATCTGAGGTTGGGTTTTGTAAGGCACCAATGGTGACAGGACTAGCGGGCAAAAAAGTAGGGGAGAGTGTATAGTTGAAGTTGGCCACTTACCAGCAAAGCCAGTGCTACAACTCAGTTCCGACTACTCCATTATATCACACTGCCTAACAAAGTCTTTCCTGATCCCAACTGCCAGTCCCCCCTCCCTAATTACCTTGCATTATTTTGTTATTTATTCTCTTTAGACTTATTTCGCATCTATTTTAAAATGTACATGTCTTCCCTGATAGAATATAATTTCCCTGATAATTGGAATTTTCGTTCTTTGTATGTTTCCCTGGTGCTTAGCACAGTATATGGTATATAGTAGGTGCTTAATAAATGCTAGTTATTGAGTGACACAGATGAAAATTAGAGTGGCAAAAAAATGTGGAGATTAGTGAATATTATGCATGCAAGTAAAATATTTTTGACACTTTTGAGGTTTATTAGCCTATCTACAAAGCCAGTTATTTAGTTACAATTTTTACTCTAGTCACCATCCAAGAACTAGGATTTGTCATACCACTATCCCCATATGTTTGGAAGCTAAACAGACAGATGGGTAAAATGTGAACATGGTATATAAAGAAAGGTGGGAGAGCTCTCTTGAATTTTATCTGTCTGAACATGGACCTTCTCCAAAGCTCCCCTCTCCCAGCCCTCCTTTCCACTCTCATCTTCCCCTCAGTGCATGCCATTTCCCAAGCTTTCCCCTCCTCCCTCAGTTTCCCATGCTGAAATCTTTCTCTACTAGCTCAGGTGCTACCTTCTCCAAGAAGTTTCGCAGGATCTCCTCCCCCAGGTAAAAGTGATCTCTCCATCCTCCAAAAACTTACCATAGCACTTTCTCACCTCTTCTTTGCCCTCATAACACCCTGTCTTGTATTATACCTTTCTGTCAGTATCTCATACCCACTATGTGTTTATACACCCCTCAAGAGCAGAGGCTATTTTATTGTTTCTGTTTATCCCCAGTTTCTAGAATGGCATTTTGTATATAGTACACTTCTGGTAAATGTTGGAAGAATGGTATGATCAAGAAAAGGGGGAAAAACCCAATTATTGTGTGATGTAGCCTATAATGAAACCATATTTTTAAAAGAGCTTGAAGCATATAACTCTCTGTTAAAATAGTGATTTATTTCGTACCAACAGATGTTCAATAGAAGTGAATTTGACATAGATATTAAGTTTACCCATTCAAGAGTAAAACCTTTCATCTATAATCATTTTAAAGGAAATCTTTCTGAAATTTATTTCCTTTTTCTCTACATTCTTAAACAGAGTATACAGGCCATAACTTAATATTTCCTTGATGATGCAGGGTGATTCTTGTTACAACCAATTATTGCAGTGGTCCATAATCCATAGTGTAATACAGAGGTGTCACACTGCCCATGGACCGCATGTGGCTCACAACATTCCCCAGTATGGCCCAAACCAGATTAAAGTGTAATTGGGAAATATTTAACAAAATAAAAATATAACATAGATAAATGTGGTTTTCTAAATCAATATGCATCTTGGAGGGACCTTTATGTATAGTTTAGTGACCCCTGTTTCCATTTGAGATTGACACGGCCAGTGTAGTACATGTAGTAGCTACCAAAGTATATCAGATCATATTATAAATAGCTCTAGTCCACGCACTTTTCATGACTCTCGTATCTGCATTTTATAGTTGTTATTTTCCCCCTGGCTCCTTTCTTGATGTCAGCTGCTAATTCTTGTTTCTGTTAGTTTGCCTGTTTCTCCTAGGCCTTCTCATACACTGACATGATTTTTTGTCGTCTGGGAAATCAGATGATTGTGTTTGTCACAACTATATAAAAATAAGTCAGTAGGCTCATGGCGTCTCCTGCAGTCACAAAGTTTGTGGGTTTCAGTGCATCAACATTGTGACAGCTATTTCAGATATCCAAAGGCCTATTTTATTTCTAGGATCTTGACTTTGTTCCCAGATGATTTAGCGTGGCCTAAATCTAATCTTACTCTGTGTGGTGCTGCTTTAAAGTTTGGCTTTGAGTGACTTTAAAATGTTTCCTTTTCTTTTCTAGGTTAGCACTGTACAAGTCTTCAAATCATGGAATCCATATCAATGATGGGAAGTCCTAAGAGTCTTAATGAAACATTTTTACCTAATGGGATAAATGGTATCAAAGACGCAAGTAAGGTTACCATAGGCATAATTGGAAGTGGAGATTTTGCCAAATCTCTGACTATTAGACTTATCAGATGTGGGTATCACGTAGTTATAGGAAGCAGAAACCCCAAATTTGCTTCAGAATTCTTTCCGCATGTAGTTGATGTCACCCATCATGAAGATGCCCTCACAAAAACAAATATAATTTTTGTCGCAATACATAGAGAACATTATACCTCTTTGTGGGATCTCCGACATCTTCTTGTTGGCAAAATCCTGATTGATGTTAGCAATAACATGAGAGTAAACCAGTACCCAGAGTCCAATGCAGAATATTTGGCTTCATTGTTCCCGGATTCCTTCATTGTGAAAGGATTCAATGTGGTCTCAGCGTGGGCACTCCAGTTAGGACCCAAGGATGCCAGCAGGCAGGTATGTTTTTTTATATTTTTTTTTTTGGAGGAGAGATGTAACATGTGGGTGTATGGACATATGTGTACTAATTTTCAAACAGATTCCTACCAAGTGCTGAGACTCCGCTGAGGCAAAAATGACTACCATAAGCTTTTAACTCTCAGTTTCCTGACTCTGTAAAGGCACGTCTCTACCACCAAAGCAAAGAGCTGAGGCAATTACTTGGCTTTTCCCTGAGGTGTCCAGGTAATTCAAGAAAAGGCAAGTTTTGGGGTCTCAGTTCCCCAACCAGTTGCTTCAGTTCTCCATTTCACTTTGATAGAGATAAATTAGTTTCACAGTGCATCACTCATTACATTGTTTATGGGAGTTCAGTGGGCCTATAAAACATAAGTGTGTACCACCCACCTTTACATATTTTAAAGTGCCCAAACTGGAAACTGCAGATGTTAGGAACCTACCTAAAAGCCAGTTAAGCCTCCTAAGCTCCTTTGAGGCTACTAGTATTATTATTATTGTTATTATCATTATTATCATTATTATTATTATTAAGGAGCCTGTGCCTATGCCCCAGCTCCATACACTTCGAGGAATTTTTATTCCCAGTTCTAGATGTAGTCAGTAGATCTGTTTAGTAGATGTAGTGTTCTGGATGCAGGGTATACTGTGGAGCACAGACAAATAAGGAGAAAAGAATCAATACATAATACAATGAGTTGGTTTTGTCTGGACCCATGATTTCATTGGTATCGAACAGAAGTGTCAAACTCACAGCCCCTGCCCATGTGCCACCAAAATTCCATAGTGCTCTGAGCCAGATTAAAATGTAATTGGCAAATGTTTAACAAAATAAATACAACATGGGTAATGTTAATTTGTAGTTTTCTGAGTCAGTACATGTGCAGGGATCCATTTCTATTGAATTTGATACCACTGGTGTAGACAGTTCCCAGAGAGGAAATTCATTCTACCAGTGCAACTTCTGCTGTTAGCTGTCTAGGGGGTACTGAGAGGTAAGTGATTTGCCCAGGGTCACACAGCCAGAATATGTCAAGAGGCAGGCTTTAAACATAGGCCTTCTAGACTTTGGACCAGCTCTCTATATGCTGCATGTATTGGCTCTCATAATATAGTATAATGCAGAAAAGAATATGTGTAATTCTGGAAAATGCATGTACTTAGGCCAGTATACCTACCATCTGTGTCAGATGGACCCTCCATCTTTGAACAAGGATTGACATCCCATGTTGAGGGGCTTTAGGGATGGTTCTGCATCAGTTATACCATAACAGGTCAACACTGGAGGGCACAGTTTCTTTGTACCATAGCATGATAATTCTGGTGGTCTAACGTGTAGCATGATATCATCTAGTATGTTCAGTCTTGAAAGGGCTGAGACCAATGAAGTACCCCATAGAAAATACCACTTCCCTCCCCACTCCCAACTCTTAAAACTACTACCAAGCACTCAGGAATCCTGGATTATAGTTGGACTACCCTTCATCACACAGCTACTGTCATCCCAAGGGTTTAATTAATTGTAATATGGTAGTGATAGATGAGCTCACAGAACTGGCTTACTTCAGCCTCTATTCCAACTTTGTTAGCACCTGAAGCAGCATGGCTATTCCTCAAAAAGCTATTCTAGCTACATGGTCTCCTCTCCCACATCACGTCATGTGGGTATCCCAAATTTATGCCTTTTAAGCCTGTTTTGTTTATTTTCCTCGGGTTAAGGCTTATCTCTCCACTACCCTTCATTCAAAATCCAGTTGCCTGGCGGAAAGAATCAAATGGCCAGTACAACAGTACTTGCACTCTTAGACTTCTGTCCCCTAAATAGTCAGTGCATCAAACTCTTCTACAGTGAACAATGTCTTGCACTCAAATTTTGTTTTCCACTTTTCATTTTTCCTAAGCTGTCTCCCCACACTATGTTACCAACTGTCAATACCGCCTGAGGGGAGCTGAAGACAGGACAAGCCGCAAGATATATTAAAAATAGCAAGAAGGGTATATTTAAAAAAAAAGGTGAAATAATCAATCACCAAATCTCAGGATAGGCCTCACAAACAGGAGTCTGAGTATGGCTGAGTATCTGGGATCTTGTGGGCAAGTCATCAAAGCAAGAAGATTCGGCTTCAGCACCTTGTCCACTATACAGACAGGAAGCCAGTGGGTACTTTGTCCCACAACTGTCCCACATCAATGTGCCAGACTTTTCACTGGTCCCAGCACACACAGACCTGGATCAGCATAGGCCAGAATCATACTTCTTCCCTTTCCTGGCTTTGGGAGAGGAGCAGGAAGAATTATTCTTGAATTATAAGATTAAATAGAGAATTCCATCCTTAATTGTCCAGGCCATTCCATTTCATCTAGCATTGGTGGGTTTGGAATGGATGTAGGCCAGAAGTACCATCAGCTCCTGCCATTTGTGGTGTTCCATCATTGGCCCCTGAGGGGAGGAGGGGATGGACTGAGAGGGGAATATTTTCTGATGTCATTTAAGAGTCAGCTGTTGACATGTCAAAGAATGAGAGAAACAGTTGCAAAGGTTCTTCAACTGAAGAGAATTCAGAAGAACATGAAGGGCAGGGCCAGGTGCACAAGGTCAGGCATAAAAAACACGCACACACCCCCTGAACAAATGACGAGAACTCTGTCAAGTTCAGCAGCTCGTTGCTTGCTTGCCGGGCTACATGACCACTATGACCCAGTATGGGGACCTTGCCAAGCCTGCTTCTGCTGCACAGGCAATCCCCTTACCACTTCTGGTCCTCCATGTCTACACCCTCTATTCCTCGTTACTGACCTCGTCTCAGTCACACAATAATGCTGTCCCCATCCAACCTGTGCTGCCAGCCATACTGCCTTATATCAATCAACATTCTCCAAACTGAGAAGGCTTTTATTACACATATGGAACCAGTTCAGCAGCAACCCAGGACAGGGCCTGACCTCAACCCCACACAGCGGTGGGGTGGGGGGTTCCATTAAGCATGAGTTGCAAAGGATAAGGATTGGAGGAATTGTGATCTACATAAGGGGCAGAGGTATTCACAATTATAAAATCAAGGATCTTTCAAAGGATTAAAATCAAGTTTTAATATTATTATTTAGGAGTTCATAGGATTTAGAGCTTTAGGGACCCTTTTCAGTCATCTAGTCTAGGGCTTCTTAAACTTTTTCTACTCATGACCCCTTCAGTACTTCTTAAACTGTGGGTTGCAACTCCACAGAGGGTTGAGACCCACTAGTGGAACACCTAATTTTACAGATGAGGACACTGAAGCAAAGAGGATATTGATTTGCTCAGCCACAAAAGTCCTTAGAATTTAAACCCAAAGCCATCTTAGTCCAAATCTAAGGTCAGACCACTCATTATATGAGGAGTAGTTGCAAGTGCTTTGTAGGTTTGTATTTGTAAGTTTCATTAAGCATTTATTAAGCACTTACCATATGCTAGACACGTAGCTATAAATTTCCTTGTAGAGGCTTGGCCTACAATTAGGTGAAGTTGCCACAAACTAGACAGTGATGCATTAATTATAGGTTTGTTGTCAGGACAGCCAGGCACCATAGGACTGGTTAATTGAGTGAAAGGAATAGCATGCTTTTTTATTCAACTGGGCTTTTTTATTCAGATAATATATAATTTTTTAAAAATTAAAATTAGCTAAGAATAAACTTTAAAGAATTCCATATTTAAAAAGGCATTCTATGATGTAATAAAATATCTGATGCACTTCAAATACTTAAGTATGATTAGATGTCATATTATCCTTAACTGGTTATCAGTCACTGTTAACTTAAGCAAGCTTTTCCTCTCCAGTGTTTAAACAGAACATTTGTTTTTTAGCTAATCCTTGGTCAAGTCAAAGCCTTTTTTGAGTCATATTTTTTGAGTGAGTTCATGCTTCAGGGAAACTTGGTGTCAAAAGCTGTTGAAGTAATATTTCTTTAGCCTCTGACCTTCTCTCCAACCTCCATTCCCTTATTTTAGGTTAACTAGTGAGAGGGACAGCTTTATTATTCCTAGCATTCCTGATCAGTTATTTATTAGTTTTTATTTGGTTGCCTTGAATCTTCCTTCATCATGGGGCTAACAGAAGAAATAATTGTATGATGTTAGTTTGTATGAGTCTCCTACAGACTGTTTGACAGTAATTGTTTTCCCCATCAGGTATTTGCTATAAATATACGTGTATTGTTTAAATTGACTCATTAAATATTTCTCTCAGCCCTGTGGTAGTGTAGTCTGATGCTGACACTTACCTCTTTTAAAGAGCCCACATTCCTTCCCATAAAACAAAACACTTAAGACCATATTTGAATACAGTCTCAAAATATCTGGCACAATATCTTGCACATAATAGGTCTTTAATATGTGTTTAACAGTGTTTTCCCACACATCATTTCAAAATTAACTTACTTGAAAATTATCTTAGATGCTATTATCATACAGTATATTTATTCTTCTAAATTTACTAGAAAAAGAATTTCTATGCTTATTCTAGATATATTATAATAAATAATAAATATACTTACAAATAACAAAAGTGAGCAGAAAATAGCTTCTCTTTGTTTTTTTCAAAAACAATAATCTTTGATTATTAATAATTCATTTGGTAAGAAATGTGTCTACTGAATAAGCATTTGGCATGCAGACATTTAATACTAGCATTTTACCTTTAGGTGATAGGGCTCTTAATAAAATTTTTCAAAATTCACACAATCTACTTAGCAAGTACCTTTTCATTTGCAAGAGGATTACGTATTTGCAATTTTTAAAAGTATAGGTTTTCATTTGTCTAGAAGTTAGGACAGTATGTTTACAAAAATATTAATGAAAAAGTTATGAATTTAGTTCTATTCATAGATAAACTTAACTTTATTACTCATAACGGTATCTATCTGTTTGACCACTATATGCAAATGTATACCAAATATCTTATGAGGAAACCAGTTACTAAGAAAACAGTCCATCAGAGACACACTCAGGCATCCGGTACCACTACAAAGTTCTGCAGCCACAGACACTTCTTAGCTGTGTGACCCTGGGCAAGTCACTTAAATTCTGTTTGCCTAAATTTCCCTCTGTGTAAACATGGGGATAATAATAGCATCTAGCTCCCAGGGTGATTGTGAGAATCAAATAAGAAAATATTTGTAAGAAGCACACAGTGCCTAGCACACAGTAGGCATTATGTAAATTCGCATTCATTCTCTCCCTCTCATCCCCACCCCATGTGTACAACTGTTCTTCCCATTCCATTGCCTCTGATTTCTTATTCTTGGTGTGTGACTGCAAAAGAGATTAAGTACTAGCTGAGAATTGAAGGTACCAGATCTGGGAACCTGTGAGAATCTACTTAAATTAAATCCTCATTCAACATTTTGCCATTGCTCAAAATTTTTTAAAGTGGCTAATAAAGCGGTAAAACCAATGATTACAGTCATTTACTGTGAACTACAGAAATGGTCTCACCTGTAATGATTTTATGATAGTTATTCTGGATGACTATCTGAGTTGGTCTGTTCCTTGGAAATCATTATTAAATATATACAATTAACTATTGCAAAACAGGGATTATGAGAGAACCTCTGAATAACTGGCAAAGGTATAGCCAGTGATGTGATGATCTCAGTGGTCATCAACTAGGAAAAGTGTTTTCCTTTCTTCAAATAAATCAAGATTCTACTCCTGTCACAATTAGACTCTAATAGATTAAATCATCAAAGATATTTTCCTGGTTTCTTTGGTATAAAAAGTACTACCAATTGTAGAAAGAGAAGTGTTCTAGGAACCTCACTTTATATACTGTTAATTAGATAAGAATTTTGAAATGCATACTATTTCAGAGCACTTATTTAATTAGTATCAATGGTGGTTGCAAGGGATGTTTGGGGAGCATGATGTGTTTTTAATCTCCTAGATTTGAGGAGTCTAGGATCTTTAAGATCTTTTTGTTGACTTGCAGTTACTTTTCTTTTTTCACATTAGATTAATTCTACTACTAAGCACTTGTACAGTACTGAATACAAAGATGGTTTTACTGTCTCTATTAGTTAAATTTAAAATATCCTGTGAGATATCACCATTAGGAGATAAGAGAAATGAAGACACTGAATGATCATGCCAAAGGTCATCCAAAGAGTTTAAGAAATACTTGTTTTGATGAATCAGTCTTCAACAACATTCATATAAAAAGTAGAAGTCAAGAAACATTAATAAGTGCCTACTATGTGCCAGGCACTATGGGAAGTGCTGGGGATACAAGAAAGGTAACCCCTTCCTTGTCTTCTCCCACCAGTTCAGATTCAACATGCACTAGATTTTATGGAGATTTTCCTTTGCCACTTCATTCTTAGGGGGCAGCACAGATTTCTCCCTGTAATCTTCTTCCCTCTGACTAATCTATATATGTTATCACTGACTTCATCTTTGTTGTTTGTATGATATTTTAACTTCCATAAAAGTCCCACACCAGTGCCTCTTTCTAGTAGATATGTGGCCTTGGGTTCGTAAAAGTCATGGCAACAGAGTACAAGGTCCATTACCGCTTTCTACCAAGCTGTGCCTACTGTCCAAGGACCAGCCCAACAAATTTAAAGATAGCCTTCTCGAAGCAAGGTGGTCATCAGCTAATTAACTCACTGGCTGTGAGGATACTTTAAAAATTAAAAATGACTCTCAGTTCTGTGCAATCTCCTTCACCTTTCAGTGACCATGATGACTTAATGGAAAAGGGGGAAGAGGGTATTAAGAATCATACAGGTTTCAAACAGTCCATAAACATTAATTTAACTCTTAGTATAATGTGTGAGACCACTGTCTCACCCTCTAATGATCTGATATGTTCTTGGAAGAACTGGACCACATCCATATTGACGCTAAATGGCAGAATGACTTACAGTAACTCCTTGGAAATATGCCTTCAGGAGTTTGTGGAACTGGTTTCATGTGTCCAAGGATTAGACAGTTTTATGGAACAGCTGGTCATCTCCCCTCCCAGTGTTCACAGTGAATATAAACAAGGAGGACCATCATGAAGGTTGCTCTAACATATACTCCAACACCCATTGAAGAATATGAAGAAATGGAGAAATTTTACAAAACAGCTAACGAGATCCTCAAACCAAGTAAAAATCTGTACTAATATTTGGTGACTTGAATGCAAAGATAAGCATAGGGAGACTGGAAAAAAAGATAGTTTGGAAAATATAATTAGAAATTAAGAAATTAAAGAGGATAAAGCTGCATAGAATATTTGAAAAACTCAGGCTAATATATCATTAATGTCACTGGATATGGTGAGCAAACTATAAAAAAAGTTGACTTTGTCTTAACAGACAAGAAACAATTAATACTGATGTGGCAGTCATTTTAGAATCAGCTATCAGTCTTCATATCAATGACTGCTTAGAGGAATGGTTAAAATTAATACTACATTAGTATTGGTCAGCAAGAATTTAAGTGCCTACTATGTATCAGGCATCATGCCATACAAAGATAAATATGAAAGAGTCCCTAGCCAAATGAGAGGTGATTACAACAGTTCCAACCTGACCATAAATAAGCTGGTGACTAGGGAATGGATAAAGCAAAAATATTGGTTTTCATAGATTAGTCACACAATTGATTAAGAGATGTAGAGAATAGAAGGTTCTGTTGTAATAATTGTTCATTAAGTACAAAGAAGCATTTGACTTGGTAGAGCAACACACAATCTAAAGAATTCTCTTTCAATAGGTTAAAATCACATAGAATTTCTTGATAGATACAATCATAAAAGTAGACATGCTGTTGACTTGGTGATTCTGATTATCAGCATCAAGGAATAAAATATTCAGACATGTTTTACATTCTGTCCTGGACAATGTCTTATGCAAATCCAAAGAGACAAGGGATTTCCCTCTAGATTCTCCAGATGCTCCTGTTTGTGGAGGGCACGTACCCTTAACTAGTATCAAAGGGCATTTCTAATGAAATTTTCAACTGCTCAACAGAAAATGACCTTGTAATCCACACAAGAAAAAACAAGTAGTTGGAGAGGTTACAGAGGCAGCACAGAGTAGCAGACGAATGAGGAAGCCCTGGATTCAAATCCAACTTTCAATAAGTCCTAGCTGTGTGAAGTAATTTAACTTAGCCTCATTTCCTTCTAAAATGAAGGAGGGGATTGGGGCGGGGCAGAAAAGGGGGCATACTAGATGGCTTCTAAGGTCCCTTCAATTCTTGTTCTTCCATCTTTAGACTTTTCTATGTGGTTAGATGAGCAGTTCACTGAGTAAATCCATCAGTCTGTCTCTCATGAATAGGCACTGCCTATAGGCAATGAGCTGGGCCACAAGTGACCAGCAGGAGAACAGGCAGATTCACATTTTCCACAAATTGTAAAGTGACTTCCTCATTGATTACCAACTTGCCTCCAACTGCAGACCTTGGTTTTTTGATATCAGTATTCTTACAGTAAAGCTATATGGCAGTGAATTATGGAATTTGTTGTTTTATTAATTCATTTCAGTCGTTTCCAAATCTTCATGACCCCATTTGGGATTTTCTTGGCAGAGATGCTGGAATGGTTTGCCATTTCCTTCTCCAGCTCATTTTATATATGAGGAAACTGAGGCAGACTGGTTAAGGAACTTGCCCGGGGTCACACACCTAGTAAGCATCTGTAGCCAGATTTAAACTCAACAAGATGAGGCTTCCTGACGCCAGAACAGGGGCTCGATGCCCTATGGCGCCACCTCGCTGCCTGAATTATGGAATACACTGAATAAAAATGGCAAGTGACCCAAAAGGCAATGGAAAGATACATGGGGGGACATATACTGCAAATGATGACTTGTGCACAAAAAGTGGCATAAAAGACTTGACCAAAAACACAAGTACCTGGAAAACAGAACGGGTCAGTCAGGTAGCAAGAACAAAGGATAGTTCACATGTTGAACTGGTAGGTGCAAAGTATTAGAAGAATCAGAGAAAAGAATATTGGATAGATTCTTTGTAGAATTTATAGAAGGAAATGGACATGAATCACACAGGATGTGAAGGTGTGATCTGCATAAGCAGAGGAAGTACTCTTTTTTTTTTCCTTCCTTCCTATATGACACATATAATAAATGCCTTTGTCCATTACTCTGCAACACATTAGCTTCTTTTGTAATTCACATCTTCCAAAACTATCAGTGCTACTCTGTAGCGTGAACACTCTGGGACAAATTATCTTCACAGAATTTTGTGTTGTCTTTTTTTTTTAACAAAAAATAACAGGTCTATGTGTGTAGCAACAATATTCAAGCTCGACATCAAGTTATTGAACTTGCTCGTCAACTGAACTTCATTCCTATTGACTTGGGATCATTATCATCAGCCAGGGAGATTGAGAACTTACCTTTGCGACTTTTCACCCTGTGGAGAGGGCCAGTAGTAGTAGCAATAAGCCTGGCTACTTTTTTCTTCCTTTATTCCTTTGTCAGAGATGTGATACATCCATATGCAAGAAACCAACAGAGTGACTTTTACAAGATTCCTATTGAAATTGTGAACAAGACATTACCCATTGTTGCCATCACTTTGCTGTCTCTGGTTTACCTGGCAGGACTCTTGGCTGCTGCTTATCAGCTATATTATGGCACCAAATATAGACGATTTCCTCCATGGCTAGAGACTTGGTTACAGTGTAGAAAACAGCTTGGATTACTAAGCTTTTTCTTTGCTACAGTCCATGTTGCTTACAGCCTTTGCTTACCAATGAGAAGATCAGAGCGCTACTTGTTTCTCAATATGGCTTATCAGCAGGTAAGGAACATGCTTTTTATTTGTCTAATTTAAGCAAAATGCTGTATCAGGGTTACTTATGTAATATAAGATCTTAAATGATCTAAAGGTCACCTGTTTTTAAATTCTGGCCTAATATTTTAATACATTTAATTAACGAGCAACAGTATTGAACAAGAAAAGCAAACATTATTCAAGATCCAAAGTTTGATTATCACTACTTTAGCAGTAACCACAAGCAATAGAGCAATTGATTACACTTAGTCAACACCCCCAAAAAACGTACCAAATATCATGTGTTGTGTGAAAATAATACTCTTTATCAATAAGAGACTTTTTTTTAACCATTACTTTTATAGGGGATATCTTTGCTATGTTAGTATATAAATAACCTAAAGCTAATAAATATGTCACAATAATGATTAATTTTACATCATCTCTAAGGCATTAAGAGAAGCAACATGAGAGTAGTGGATAAAAGGGCCAGCACTGGAATTGGGGGTCCTGGGTACAAGGCTTGCTCTTAATGCAAACTTTCAGAATGACCATGGTTAAGTTACTTAATGGCTTAGAATCCCAGGGTACTCTCTAAAACTATAAAATAGACATGAATTGCCAATATTAATTGGTGAAGGGAGTCCCCAGAGCTAAAGCTCCCTACATGATAAAAGCCTTTAATATACCATATACTTTGACAAAAAAAAAACCTACATCATACATCTACAAATACAATCTAATTCTCCTTCTGAAAGAACCAAAGAGCAGATCAAAAGGAGACTATCATTACAGAATTAATGTTCTGGTTGTTAAAAAAATTCGGGAAGCAATGAAGGATTGATCATGGATCCTGTCTCTTGAAATATAGTACTTACAAAATAATACGCTAAAACAGTCATCCAGTGAGTTATTTTATAATAAATATCAGACACAAATTAGACATTTTTACTAAAATTATGTTTTTATATATACTGCCTCTTATTATACAAAGAATGCCTTGCTGATTCAGTAAATGTTCTACCAAATAAAGAAAATTCAAATTTACTTTCTTGCCAGGTTCATGCAAATATTGAAAACTCCTGGAATGAAGAAGAAGTGTGGAGAATTGAAATGTATATCTCTTTTGGAATAATGAGCCTTGGCTTACTTTCCTTATTAGCAGTAACTTCTATCCCTTCAGTGAGCAATGCCTTAAACTGGAGAGAGTTCAGCTTTATCCAGGTATGTTGTGGGGAAAGAAGAAAAAAATTTAATTCATCAATCACTGTATTTTTTTTTCTTTTTTCTTTTTTTTTTTTTTTTGCAAGGCAGTTGGGATTAAGTGACTTGCCCAGGGTCACACAGCTAGTAACTGTCAAGTGTCTGGTCTGAGACCAGATTTGAATTCAGGTCATCCTGAATCCAGTGCCGGTGCTCTATCCGCTGCGTCATCTAGCTGCCCCCTGTATTTTCATTTTTTTAAAGGATACTCTTTGTTAAAAATAAGTTCCTCTTGAGCTATGATACACAGCTTATTTATGTTTCGTGAGTTGTTAAGTCTAGATCAGCTCAACACCACCTTAAGTGAAATGAAATGAAAAGATGGGATCAGAATATTGATCTTCTGATAACGATTATAATACTAGCTGACATCTATATAGTGCTTTAAAAGGAATAAGCATAATGGACTTGGAGTCAAAAGTCTGAGCACTCTCTATCCCAAGTCAACGTGTCAGAAATAGAACTCCATTATCTTTTCCCTCAAACCCGTTTCTCTTTCAAGCTTCCCGTTCCTATCAAGGGAACCACTACATTATCAGCATCCCCACTCACAACTCTCAGTGTTGTCCTTGGCTTTTCATTTACCACACATATCTAATTGGTCTCCACTCACAAAGCCAACTTCCTTGTTTAGGCCTTCACCACCATCTGTCATCTGGATTGGTCTCCCTGCCTCAAATCTCTCCCAACTTCAATCTGTTCTCTACACAGCGCAGGTCTGATCAGTCTCACTTCTCCCAACCAATTCCAGTGGCTCCCTATGGCCTCTAGGATCAAACAGAAACTCTCCCACTTGGCATCAAAGCTCTCTACAATATGGTCCCTTCCTACCTTTCTAGTCTTACTTGATGTACCTCACATATAAAACTCCATCTCCCAACTCAGTGACATTACACTGATGATCCCTTGTGCTTTCCCTCCTCACCTCTACCTCTGGGAATCCCTGGGTTTCCTCCAAGACAACTCAAGTGCCACTTGTACATAATACTTTTTGTGATCATCCCCCCCCTTCCATCCTCTTCCTTGCCATAGCCACCTTTTGATTATGTCTACCTTTGTAGATATGTATGTTGTATTCTCTGTTACAATACAATTACTTTGAGGGTAGGGAACTGTTTTGCTTTTGTATTTATATCTCCAGCTAGCATTGACCCTGGCACATAAAAAGCATTTAATATCTAGTAATTGATTGATTTTGGGCAGATAGGTGGCACAGTGGATAGAGTGCTCGGCTTGGAGTCAGGAAGACTCATCTTTGTGAATTCAAATCTGACCTCAGACACTTGCTAGCTGTGTGACACTGAGCAAGTCACTTAACTCTTCCTCCATTCTTCATCTGTAAAATGAACAGGAGGAGGAAATGGCAAACTACTCCAAGAAAATCCCCAAAATGAGGTCATGGAGAATCTGACATGACTGAAAAACAACCGAACAACAACAAAAATTGATTGCCACTTATCAACATAAACCCCCTTTTTCTTACTTTCTTACTAGCTCTGTAATTTCATTTCCTTAGGTCTGCTACCTCTTCTGTAAAAATGAAGGGTTGGAATATGTGATCTAAAATTACTTCCAACTCTAATATTCTCTAAAGTGTTCACAAGGAGCTATCCTTAAGGATCTGGTTTATTAGCATATGTAATTCACTTATCAGTTATATACATAGGATCTTAGATTTTGAGCTGAAAAGGACCTCAGAGGCCAATCCAATTCCTTCATTTTACAAATGAGGCAGCTGAGTCTCAAGAAGGTTAAGTAGGGGCAGCTAGGTGGCACAGTGGATAGACTACCAGCCCTGGAGTCAGGAGGACCTAAGTTCAAATCCAGCCCCTGACACATAATACTTCCTAGCTGTGTGACTGTGGGCAAGTCATTTAACCCCAAATGCCTCACTTTAAAAAAAAAAAAGGTTAAATGACTCGCTGAGAATCAAATAGGTAATGAGTGCCAGAACTAAGACTCAAACCTGGGTCCTCTGTCTTTAAATACAATGTTCATTTCACTCTACAATACTACTGCCACCAATTAGAATTTTAGAAATAGATTAATATGGTAAGACATCTTTGAATTTAGTGTGCAGAGTGAAAGGTAGACATTAGCTTGTATCCTATTTAAATTTGCACAAATTCTGAATTAGATGAGGCCAAATGAATTTTTACAATAGGGTGTAAAAAGTTGTGACTAATCGTTTTGCATAGCACCAAGTTCATTCGTGTCTGCATACCCTCTTGTAACTCTACCCAAATTGAAGGCATGGTACTTGTCCAAATTAATTTTCTAGCTGAGGGTAGGGAAACAGAAATATTTGCACAGCTGAGATTTTCATCACACCTGGAAAGTGTTGGAGGCCTTTGAATAAAAGGTGGTAGACAGGTGCAAAATATTTTAAATTTAGATAAGTAATTGAAAACAAGAGAGTCTGTTCTGCTTAAGGGGCTAGCATAGCCTTGGTCAGTAAGAGTTAGTTGTTACATCAACATCTTGGTACAATATTACTTTTCATATGATAAATGCAATGACCCAAAGTATAGTAATCCTAATCATACTTAAGAATTCTGACCTGTAGATTTTGAAACTGTAAACGGCCAAAGCAATCATCACAATGTAGATATATTTGTATACTTTATAATGTTCTTAAATGATGCAAGGCTTTCAAAATGAAGTTTTAAATAAAGTACAATTTCAATATAGTTGAATTAAACCAGAAGTTAGAAGCAGCCCAACTGATAGTCCCTGTAAGAGAATCAAGAAGGTTAATTTCTTTGTCTTCTTTTTTTTCTCTCCCAAAGTCTACACTCGGATACGTGGCCCTGCTCATAAGTACTTTCCATGTTCTAATTTACGGGTGGAAAAGAGCTTTTGAAGAAGAATACTACCGGTTTTATACGCCACCAAACTTTGTTCTTGCTCTTGTTTTGCCCTCTGTTGTCATTCTGGGAAAAATCATTTTACTCTTTCCATGTATAAGCAGGAAACTGAAAAGAATTAAAAAAGGCTGGGAAAAGAGTCAATTTATTGAAGTAGCCAGTGGAATCATTCCACACCTTTCACCAGAAAGGGTTACAGTAATGTGATGTTAAATGGTACAAAATAGTGTCATCAGGAATTATACTTGAGTTACTATTTCTATTATAACCTTTATTTTCAGAAGTTTATCTAACTGGGCTATAAAACTTGTTAAGGTTGAAATCTAATCAAGAAGGTCAAAGCCCAGTTAGTATTCATTTTTTTTATTAATTTTCATAAAGTCATGTTAGGCAATTTGGAATTTTTTAGAGAGCCAACCATATTTGCTGGAATTTTAAGTGCTCTTTTTGCACAGCTGTAATCACTATTGCTGTTATTTTGTCAAAGCTCTATTTTGTAATCGATCCAAGTATGTGCTATTTACATTTAGTAATGCCAACATATTTATCAGTGTTTTAAAAAAATCTTTTTTCAAGCAACTAGCATATTAGATTTTTAACATAACTCATCATATATGGACATTACATTTGCAACACTGAACAAAAATTGTTAATTATAAAACTTCTGTGATAAGAATTTTAAATTACGTAGAGTAAAAAACTTAATTGGTTAAAAAAAAAAGAAACATTGCATGGGAAACTGGACACAGTTGAGTAGTCACTACCCTCCAATGCTCACCAACACCACACTAGAACATTTAGGAAACATACATATATGGATATAATAATTCCTTCTAAAAGAAAAATTAAGCAAGTAGTTACATTAAAACATATTAAGGATGTGAATTGATAATGGATTTAAGTACTATAGTCATGTAATAAACTAAAAATGTTCACTTCATAATTATATTCAGTTCAAAATATAGCAATTACTTTGGTATATTAATAGACTAGACAGACATTTCAGCAATATGCTACCTCCACAATTGAACATCTCTAACAAAGCCAGGATGAGGCTGTAGGCCAGGTTTGAACATCATGTCCCCTTTGTTCACTCTAACATATGGGATTTGACCTATCATAAAATAAATGATAATATTCCACATAAAGTTATCTTGTCATAAAGCCATTAACTCTATCCCACCATCAACATCAACACAAACCCCCTTTTTCTTCTCACCTTAGCTCCAAGAGATACAGTAGTTACAGGCCTAAATTCTAGAGGCCAACACTACAATAGCTTTGGCAGTAGCCCATCTGTTTTTTCCATTTTTGAGTGAGGAAGAAGCAGCAGGATACTATAGAACTCTGCTTGGTAGCCTGCCATCATGGGAGTTTTTTAATATTAATTCGTGGAGAAAATCTGCCTGACAAGGAATGACATTAGACCAGGAAGCTTGAACAACTCATGGTAACTCCCCCCGATTTAATCAAGGTCATACGCCTGTGGACCAAGAACGAGGCCTGCCCCATTAATAGTCTCTTCCAAAAGGCTCTATGTTAAGAAGATAGCCCAAGATGTATTTTGTCCTTTTTTTTCAAGCCTTTGAAAATCGTTACAAAGCTGGGCCATCTATTTCCTTCCCAGGCATTGATCCAGGAAGTTTACCTGCATGTAAAAGATGTATAGAAACAATTATTTATGTTTCTGTAAATTGTTTCCAAAATTTTTTTCAGTTTTGACTTTCTATTACACTCACTTATTTCAAAACTTGATTAATGTCTTATTTGTACACTTCCCTCATTCCTATTGAAAAGGAAGGTTAAGGTTACTGCTAGTAGATCCTTTGTAGATTTTCAAAGTCATTGAGGAATCTTTGCTCAGTATAGGCTTCATACAAAAAGAGGTTCCCCCCCACCTTTGGGATAACTCTTCCTCATGCCACTTTCCCAACTACTGCTTCTATACATATTGGGTAAATTATTAATATATTACCTTTTCTTCCTTCTTCAGCTTTTGTCCCTGTTATAATGTGAGCTCCTACAGAGCAAGGGCTGGATTGTTTAGTGTAGTGCTTTGCAAGTGATAAAATGGCTTATTTTCAATGCCTTTTCATTCATTTATCATATCCATCTATCACATCCATTCATCACATCCATCTGTCTTTCCTTGGTGAGTTTCAATGTTTTCTAATAGATCTTCATTTTATTTTTAAGTTATTTCATTCTCCCCTCTTGGTAGTTATTTATTACTTGGTAGTTGTGGGGAAAATTCTGAAGGCAAAACCTTAAGAATTACTTTAGAATAACAAAAATTTCAAATAATTATACTTGTTCATTCCATGCACTAGACCCCTTTGGTCTTCATCATTAGAATCCTAATATGAGGAAGTTTCCCTCCCTCAGAACCCAAATCCTGTGGTTATTAATGGAATGTTAAAATACCAAGTGGCTAATAGTACAGATAGACTCATCACTAAGATATACTAATGAAGTCTTTGAAGGTTTTTTAAGCTATTCAGGGGGAAAAATACAAAAGAATGAATGTTTAAATAGTGTTTCAGATGCTAATAAATCTGAGTTTGCACAATACATCTGTTAATATACTGTTGAGTATCACAAAGCAAAAACAGTTTGATATTACAATGTAAGTGTATTATTCACAATACAATATTATGAATTCTATCTAAAAGGAATTTTATAGAGTGCTTTAATATTTCTTACTAACTAGATTGATTTCATGATTTTCTACTGTTCTCAAAAATTATACTAAATTCTGTCATTACCATCTTGCCACATGTAAAAGAAATACAGCTATTTGTTATGGCAAAATTAGGATGTTGGATTGAATATGGGTGATACCTTTTTTTTTTCTGATCTGGCTGACATAAAACTTGAGCAAAGTCCCTAAGCATCAAAATGCTCTATTAACAAAAGAATGGCAATACAAGTGATGAAGATTAAAGTACTGATAATAAAAATAAGATATCTTTATTTCAATTTTTGAAAGTTTAAAATTTTTAGACTTATAATAATAATTTTGCCTAAGTATTTTTCAGTGAATATCAATACTTGTTTTCTGTTCAAAAAGCTATCATTTCAGGTATGCATGTAGTCCATATTTTGGGGTAACCTGTGTTTGGACTAAGAGGATATATGGTAATGGAAAGTGAGCATTGGAGACTTTGTCCATGGATCTGTACTTTGTAGTTATGTCCCTAAACCTGAACCAAAATGGAACACTGAGAAATCCATCAATTCTTATTCCTATGCAATAAGTAATTTTATTCTAAAAGGAAAATAACCATGATATATCATGCTGCTTAACTTCTGTATATGAAGATTTCTTAATTCTTTCAATATTTAGAACCATGCTGAATAGGAATATATTAATATGCTATCATATATTTTTCAAAGTATGTGTGGAAATTAAGTCCTTTGGTTAAATGTAAAATTTTTATTTAAAATAGGAATAGATTATATTTGTAGGTATTGATCAGATATAATTATTTTGTGCTACATATGGGATTTTGTAATGAGTTCCATTATTAAAATAAATGATTAACTTCTTACAAATTAACATATCAACTTAAATTTTTTATGTTAAAGATTATATTTAATAATATTCACTTAATGCCTAACGTAAGATATTACTTTCACTATAATCAAGTTATTGAAATTCTTTGTACACAAGGGCTGCAGGAATGTGGGCCATATATTGTTTTATGCATCATAATCATACTTTTTATCGGCTATATTTTATGTAATACAAAGACTGCCTTCCCCTTTATATTGCATTTTTTCCATGAAAATAATGAATTGCCTGTATAATGTAATACTGCAAACATCCTATCAGACAATACATATTTCTATGCATATGTCCATTTAAAAAGAGGCTGTGTAGCCTAGTAGAAAGACAGGGCTGAACTCAGGAGTGTGGAAGACTTGGGTTCAAGCCTGACCTTTCACACATACTGGCTGTGGAACCCTGAGAAGTCACATCACCTCTCGAGGCCTCAGAAACCTAGCTCTTTAAGGCTGTGAGCTCTAGAACAGTAGTAGATGGGCATTGGGAGAGAGTGTGCCTCATCCTGATGAAATCACACTCTGGATTCCCCCCACACACACAACGTCTCTCCTCTCCCAACCAAATAGAAAAATATGTTTTTGTTTTTTGTTAAGGCACTGAAAGTATTGTTTTTCTTCTGGCATTTTAACTAAAGTGCCATAAATGTAATCCATACAAGTTTAAGAATAAACATTGAGTTCGTTACATCTGTATCCAGTCTAAAATCTCTACTTTTGAAATGTGAATTTTAAAACTTGTAAATGTCTTAGTTGGTAACAATGTTCATCAATATACTGTATCATGTTACAAAATTCAGTTCAACATTTGTATTTGTGATGTGTTGTTGCAACATGAAATTTTAAAGCCAGTTTCATCTGTTCACAAATACAAAAAGAAACCTGATATATGCTTAATGGTTATAAATAGAACAACAATTTTCATGGAGATATTTTGTCTGCATGCTGGAATAGTGATACATAGGACAAGTAACTAAGTACTGAGATCTTTTCTTAAAAATAAGAGTACTTTTGAACATATATTAATAAGAAAATGAAAATAGACATCTTAAATAACGACTATGTCTATATGACAGTAAAAACCACCAGTCGAGTCAATCAATCAAATTTTATTTGTTGAGCACCTACTATATAATATAAAGAGTCAGACCAGTTTGTTTAGGAGTCTTGTGAACAAAAAGGCTGACATTTATTTTTTCACTTTCCAGCTCTATGTGTATGCATTGTTTGGACAAAGCCAAAATTAATGCCCCATCTATAAATCATCCAAAGGGAATTTTCATAGCTGTGCACTGCAGAAGCAAGCAAGTTGTGTTGTTTTATAAAATGTTTTTTCAAAGATGTTATCTTCAAAGAAGCCTATTCCTTACTTTGTAAAGTTTTCTTTAAATATGATGAGTTAATCCTGCAGACAAACAGCAGTACTGTGTCATAACATGACACTACAAGAATGAACTGGACTAGGATAATTCTTACCTTTAAAAGCCAATACTTTGAAGAGGTGAGGTGTGATTTGCAAAAGAATTGACTTTTCAGTTAATTATATACCGTTTCCATGCCTCATGTAGTCTGATTGTGGTCTGTTTGTCTACCATGGATGTATTACTTATTTCTTCTGTATGGAACTATGTACGTGACATTAGCCAGTTCCTCTTGTCATCTCTCTAAATAGGGATATCAAATTAAAAGTAGTGCTTTTATGTCATTTCCATAGATCTGCCTTACGTGAAACTAAATAAAAAGTAACAAACCAAATATTTGGACTTTTCATTTGAAGTACTCCCCTATTCCTTTTTCTCTTTACAATAATTCTAACCAATCTGAAAGATTTCACATATTTTTTTCTGATTTCTTTGGATCTAAAAGCTTCCACTGCACTACATATTAATATACATATTTTCTACAACAGGGTGGTCATTAACAAATATTTCACTAAAATTGCCATTTATTTATTAAAATTAAAACTACAAATACTTTTGAAATGTAAAGTTTATGAATTAACAATGATGATAAGTTATGCAGTACTGTCAGAAAATGGAAACATTTCAGTTTGGTAAGTGGGATTCATTTATTCATTTACTGTTAATACTTTTTTTCCCAATAGCTGTTCCTTTATCACACCAACAAAAATTATATTCCATTTTGTTCCACCCCCTTATAAAACATTTCCTGTGTTCTTTAGTATACTTGGTCCTGTATGGTTTTTATATTTATACCTCAAACTCACTAAAATGTTTTTTTGAAGCTATAAACACCTGACTGCCACACTTTGAAAGTAACTGGTAACTGTGTACTTATTAAATTGTGTTAGCAGCATTTTGCAAAAATGGGTAATATTTCAACTCCTAGAAACAAATGCATAATGATGAGATCTGAAAGTGAACTTTCAGGTATCTACAGCAATGGATACTGCAAACAGGGAATGTGAAACATTTTCATTCTCTTCCCACCTTTTTGAGTGGATATGCCAAAAAACCAACCCCTGCAACAAATCAAAAGGGACAGAAAATCCATAAATGAGAAGAGTAATCCTCAACAGTAGTAAACTAGGTTTATAGGGTTGACAAAACTCTAAAGCATACACCCACATACTACTTAAAAATTGAATCCAGTCACGTACTCCAGCTCATTTATGAACTACCTAAATGTGACTCAAAAAGAAGAATTTAAGTTACAAGCCAGAGTGGTCCAGTAGAAAAAGCTCAGGAATCTAGGTTCAAATCCTAGAACCTGCACTTACTCTTTATGTGCTATTGTGGTCAAATCATTTGTGCTCTCTGGGCCTCACCAATAAAAAGGGCTTGGACCAGACATCCCCTATGTCTTCCTTTGATGTCTAAATGATATGGTGCTATGGATACCCAGACAAAGTATTATGTTTGAACCAAACACCCAACTTTGGCTTTTGAGACAATTCTATGTTTTTTTCTTAAAGTCTTGTCTAATTTATTAAAGATCCCTTAAAATTTCTAACCAGATCTTAGATATTAGAAAATAATACTTTTTTAAAGTTATATCGTCTCCTCATATCCATCTGCTTCTTTAGAAAGAGGTTTAATAATTCCAAACCATCCTTTACATTCTTCCTTCTCTGTAAGGCCATTACTTCCTTTCTATTTCAGTGGATTTGTTATCTCACCGATGTAGGTACAGATCAGAACACATCCATGCTTTCCCATTCTATTCAATTCTTGCTCAAATTGAGTTCCCCAAAGATGATTTACTGAACATGTTGGAACCCTCGATGTTTAACACTGTAGGTTCTAGCACAACACTGAAATAGCATGTTATCCCTTGCTCTCCTGGCCCATCTTTTTCTAACCATACATTTGTTGCATAGTATCTTGTACACTATGTCTCGAGTGCATATCATCATTGGTAACAAGCTATAACCTATTTACTCCCACAGTGTATTTCCACTGCTCTTTGGCCTGCCCATAATTTTGATTCTTTGGAGACAGTGATTCTCCATAATTGTCAGCCAAGTAGCATCAACAGGAGAATTAGAGGATTTTCTTTGTGTTGGGAACAGCTTGGGAATTATTGAAAGTACCACACACCACAAAGCTTACTCTCTTATACTCCTGTTCAGTTCTCATACCTAGATATAATATGTTCTAATGGGTTCTCAGGGGTGGGGAACCTGCAGCCTTGAGGCCACGCCTGGCCATCTAGGTCCTTGGGTTTCTGACTGAGTCCAAGTTTTATAAAATAAATTCTTTTATTAGGGGGATTTGTTCCGTGAACTTTGGATTTAGTCAAAGAACTGCACTTGAGGACCTAGAGAGCCACATGAGGCATTGAGGCCACAGGTTCCCCACCCCTGGGCTAACTCAGTGGGTTGCTCTGCCAAGGGCATATCATAGTATAGGCAATAGGAATTCTATAGTTATTGATTGTTCCTGGATAAGTTATTTTGTATTTTTTTTGTGTTATCATGATTCTCACTGAGTATTTTGGGTCTGAATGCAATTAGCACAATGTGATCCTCAAACAGGTTTATGGGGAAGATGTTCCCAGGGATAGGGGATACTTCTACTAACTCCTACTTGGTAGAAATGGAAACAAGGGATGAAACAGAGTCAAACTCATTTCCTTTATCCATTTCCTACTTTTCAGTATCAATAGTTTATTTGAATAGATCAAGTTGAAGTCATAATTATACAGTGAACATCTTCTCACTTATGTTCTTTTTAAAAGTTTACTGCTGATTTTGGCCTTTGCTTTAACTAGTCAACAGTTCAACAGCAGATGGGACTTCATCAGGAGCCAGTCATTTCCTATCTGATGTGATAAAAGCCAATTACACTTTTTTGGTTGTTTAGTATTTGTTTATTATCTGCAGCACCTTTTTTTGGACTGGACCTTCAATTTCATTGGCGTAAGAAGCTCCAAGTAAGCTCTCAACTTCTCTGCAACCTGATTTACCCAAGGCACAGAAAGATTATAAGTGACTTGTATATGTCAAAGGGCCAGGTTGTGTCAGATACAGAACTTCCTTATTCCTTCCAGAAATAATGTTCAAGTTGTAACTTGTATATGACACCAAATTCAACATTCTTAGAGGGAGCTAAGATCCCTCCTTCACAATAGGGTGTGCCAGGAAATGGCTTAGGGAATTTGTCTTTATTCTGTAGACCTTGTGGAGTCCCTGAAGACTTTGAGAACAGGGAGTGCTGTGATGAGAGATCTGCTTTACAAAGATTAACCTGGCATTAGTAGAGACAACAGATTGAAGGGAGGAAATTTGGTTACAAAGAGACTAGTTAAAATCTTATTGCAATAGTCCCAGGAAATGGTAAAGACAGTGGGAACCAGGGCATAATACTGCCACAGAAAAGGGAGAAAGGAAGCATGAGAAACCTTAGAGTTGGAATGGACAGGATAAGGCAGCAAGTATAGTGGAAAGAGCCCTTACGTTTGAATCCTGGCTCTGCTCCTGTTGAGAGGTGACCTTAGTCCCTTCATCTCTTGGCCTCAGTTCCATCATCTGAAAATGAACAAATAAACAAGATGGTAGATGAGGCACCTTCCAGCTCTCAGTATCATGAAGTATAGTCTGTATTTTCTATGTTCCTTTCCTGTGTCTCTGTCACAAAGAAGGTCCCCAGGGGGATGAGACCTAGGATTGTGAGGGGCTCCAGACAAAATGTTTTCAGGGAAGACCTCTTGGTGTGGGAATTCTTTCCACCAGTGCACTGCAGAAACTCATCTATAATATCATTTTAGAGAGCTGTCGGGGCAGCTAGGTGGCGCAGTGGATAGAGCACCTTCCCTGGACTCAAGAGGAACTGAGTTCAAATCCAGTCTCAGACCAGACACTTGACACTTACTAGCTGCGTGACCCTGGGCAAGTCACTTAACCCCAATTGCCTCACCAAAAAAAAAAAAGAGAGAGAGTTGTCTTTCACTTATTTTAGAGAGCTGTCGGGGGCATTTAAGTGACTTGCTCATGATTACACTGCTAGGATGTGTCAAAAGCAAGACTTGTAATCTTCCTGGGTAATCAAGATAGCCCTCCCTCACATAACAATAATAGCCAACATTTACATAGTGGATACTATATATAGCGATGCCAGGTACTGTGCTAAGTAGTGTACAATTATCTCATTTGATCCTCACAACCATCCTTGGAGGTAGGTTCTGTTATTATTCCCATTTTACAGAGGGGAAACTGAGACAGAGGTTGAGTGACT